AGTTTTACAATAGAAAATTGATAAGTAAAATTGTTTTCTTCAACAAAGGACATTTACCACTTACTTAAGCTTAAATTGCCTTCATAGCATTCAGTGTATGACCATGTTAAGAAGACTAAAGTCTAGTATCTAAAGATGTAGTAGTATTTCATAGTTCCTGGAATGCAAAGGGGACATCCAAAGTACTGTATCAATGGCTGTTTAAACCAGAACAGTGGTAAAAACAGTATTTTCTTACAGATAATTCTTGGTGTTTTTATAGATGAAATAAGTCGTGTTCTGAGAGAAAACCTAGTTTCTCTTCCACTTAAAAAAAAAAAAAATTGACCTATTTTCACAACTCAGATGATCTCTCTATTTCTGAACAAAATTAGAAGCCCTACTTATCCCACTGTCTGTTAACACAATTATTCATGTGGCTTCCAAAACAAAATTTCATACTGATGTGGCACCCCATAAAATATCTTGCTTCACCAGAAAAGATATACCTTGTTCATTTCAGCAAACTATTCAATGGGCATTAGCATAGTTTTCTTATTAGAAATGAAAAAATCATTATACTTGCCTTTAAGATATTGCTTGTGGGAATAAATTTCAGGATTATCCAACAGCTCACAGGAACTTTAAGACAACTAGGGCATGAAGTAACCTTCCCAATGCCACACAAAAGACAAAATTTGCTCTAAAGGTCTTCCTCTCTTGTTCTCTGTTTATAAAGACCTAGGTGCACTATATGCATATATTAAGTATACAGTATTTGCTTCACTGTAGACAGAAAAAAAAATAGAAGTGAATTGAAATAATATATTTGTTTTGATAAGAGAAAAAATGTATGTATTAGATAAAGAATGAGATACTGCGTAGAAAAGTCATATAATTACTTTTGAAGGAAATTCTGTGATAGCAAGATGCTTCAAAATTAGGGATCAGCTGAAGACTAGGGGGCAGAGAATCTTTTATTAAACTCTCCTTCCAGTCTGGAAAGAAAATAAGATTATGCATTTAATCTTGAAGCCATCTTTGAACTATGAACTGATAAAAACAACCCGGAAGCATAGAAATCACACAATGGGATGCAAAAAGTTAATAACAGTAAAGTAAATTTTAAGCAAGAAAATGCAAACTTATTCAAAAGCAGATCAAGAAAAAAAGAAAAAACATTATGTTGTAGTTAGTACCTTTCATACTATTGTTAATGATGAAAAAGATACCAATTGTCCATACCTGTAATTCATCAGAACTATTCTTGCTCTTTGAAGTCTCTCCTCCAAATCTAACCTTTTCCCCACAGTACTTAACAAAAACAAAATAGAGTTTATGTAAATTTCTGCATATCAAGGGCCTGATCCTGTACAAATGTCAAGTGCTCTGTATTTCAATTGATTTCCTGGCATGTAGGAAGTACCTGTTACATGTTCCTGCTCCCTGCTCCCTGTAAAAGAATGATAGCCTTATAACTGAGTTCATCATAAAGCAGATCAAGTCTGCAGCATTCACTGGAAAGTGTGTGGCATTCCTGCAAGGTAAGGCTGTGTCACCAGGAGAGTTGAGGAGTACAAAAATTTCCCACAGTATCCCACATAGTGAGAAAAATCATAATTCTAGACCCCTAGTTGAAGCAGACATTTCCCTTCCTCCGGGAAAAACTGAAAGATTCTGCCCCAGTTATGTGCATACCTGTCTTACCAGAGATTATAAGTTCTATGCAGAGTCACAGATCTGATAATTATATGGCCAGAATACATCATGGGGATTATGTATCTGATTTTCTTCTGTAATACCGGTCATGTAGTAAAGCCTGCTTCCACTCTGGTTGCTATTTATTGTAGAATACACTTTCTGGGCTTTAACCCCACTTAACATTAATGATACAACCCTAAATTAAAAATAGAAGAATTAAACTTGCAGAGTTCACTCTCTTGTTAGCCTAAATGTGCTACCATATCTTTGACTTTCCTATTTTTTTTTCTACTTTTCTCTCAGCTCATGTTCATGTCAGACCTGGGAACGTCCTTGGGCTAACAGCGACGAATTTACAGTATTCAAGATTAAAACATCATTTCCAGGCATGTGATCATTCTTTGAGGTTTTTTTGTTTTTGTTTTTGTTTTCATTTTTGCTTTTGTTTTTTTGAATCCTTTCCAATCTCAGCTATTAACGACATTTAAAAATGGAGTTAAGAGCTGCTTGTATTCTGCACTGCACAAACACGTTTTATAATTATGACTCTGAAAAAGTTAAAATTAAGGAATAAGAAAGGATAATGAAGAAACTGCATAAAAAAGAAGGGAATTAAAAATATGTTAATCATCACTCAGAACCTATTAAAGCTGTAACTGTTTTGTCTGCATAAAATGACAATCTAAAAGCAAGTATTATTACAGGACATATTTCACCTGCTTGGCAATTAAGTTGTTTGAAGGGGCAGTTAATGATAAAGCTCCAACTAGACAGATCTATAGCGATGAAAATTGCACTTACAGTTGGAAATTACTCCTTCAAAATACATAGGCAACGTGCAGCAGTTCCTGCGGGATACAAATCCCTTTCCAACCTTTAATCAGAAACCAAAGGAAAGAGTGAATTATATCACTTTGTTCCCACTGAATGCACAACATGAATTTTACAATTAAGCAGATAATAATCAGATATTAAAGAAAAAGGGGGAAGAAAAAAAAAAAAGAAAATACCAAGATAGGCTGTATCCAGTGACCGCAGCTGGAATAATTTTCTTTCAAATCTAAAGCATATTTTATTATATATGGTGTTTGCTTCTGGGGCTTTCCTCAGCATGGAAAGTGGAAATACATTCATCTGTTTCTGTTTTTGGTTGTGTTTTTTTTTTTTCTTCTTTTTTTTTTCCTGCCTTCCAGTCGGTTTCACTTTCAGATTCTCATGTTTCACACTCCAGTCTTCAGGTTTCAAGCACTGCAAGGGAATACTTATTTCCAATAAACAAACAAAAATCTTGTGTCCACCCAGCATGCATACGCTGTTCCTACTAATCTGTGGCTCAAGAACAAAACTTGATACGATACCATCCATCCTCTGAAGCGTTTTCAAGAGGGTTTTTTTTAGATTTTCCAAAGAAAACAAATAAAATAAGTGGGATTAATGACGAAATAAGGGTATATCTACAATAATAATAATAATAATGAAAGAGTCATAGTGTTTTACAACGCTCCTGGGGTGACATTGATAAATCGCAGTTATGTGTTACTGACTTCATGAAAACTGATCAGGAATCTGGTAATCGGTAGCCGTAACACCGAACCAATCACCTGAAGCGACGAGCTGGGGTCTGTTCGTCCCGTCCCGCGGATCTGACACACTGCTGCACCGCGCCGAGAACACGCCGGCGGGGCTCACTTTGCTGACGTATACCTTTAAGTGGCCGGAGTAGCTCGGCAAAAGGAGAAAAGTTTGTGTGGGGGGTTTTTGTTTGTTTGTTTGGGTTTTTTCTTTTTCTTTTTTTTTTCTTTTTTTTTTTTTTTTTTCTCCTGAAGGGCGAGCGGTATTTAACATACGGCACTCGGTAATCTCTCCATGTAAAAACATCTGTTGTCTCCGGGAGCACACGTGGACGCGGGGACAAGGCGAAGCGGCGGCGTCGCGTATACCGCAGCCAGCGGCGCCGGTTGGGCATCGCCCCGGCCCACTGGGGCTCCCCGCCATCGGCCCGGCTTCCTGCAGTGCGGTCTCATTTCAGAGGACCAGCGTTTTCCGTTTGCGAACGGTTAGTGACCTTAAAAGCCGTGGCACCGAGGTTGTTTTTTTTTTTTTTTTGGGGGGGGGGTTAGGGGGGAGAGGGTTGGGGGGATATTGTTGGTTTTTTTTTGTTGTTTTTTTTTTTTTCTACCCCGACGTGGCTGCACATCTGTGACACCTCCACGTGTGGGGCTGAAATGCTTCCGTGGACTGACTTAGCGATTTATATTTCTTTTAATTGGGCCCTCCCCCAACCAAAACGGTGGGGAGGCAGGACTCTCTGGCGGGTCGTGACGGCCTCCCTGTAGTGAGGCGCATGGTTCCCAAGGCTCCCCAGGTTCCCTCCGTACCCCGGACATCACTCCACTTCAGAAAGTCGGTGCCGAACAGTTAGAATACTCGTCATCCTGCCCCTCGAAACCTGCATAAATCACAAACGCTGCACTGTCGGGCTACAAAGTCAGACGGGAGCACTTAGGAATTTAAGTTTGGAGAAGGAAAACTTAGGCTGACACAACACGCTCCCTGTTTACAGGAGTAGTCAGGAAGGGGAAATGAATGGTGGAAGTTAAACAGCCTTTCACTGCGGAGCTCAACGCGCCGCAGCACATCGCTGCTGGCCACTCCCGACGTACAGGGGGACCCCTCACCGTCGTACAACGCAACCTCGGGCAGGCGAATCCCTGCCCAAGCGCGCGGTGAGTACTCGTCTTGAAGAATAAAGGGGCCGAACACGATACCCGCAGCCGCCGTGTTCCTCCTGTGCCTGAAAGCTCCCCTCACTTCTTGGACGGGACGAGGAGAGGGAGACGCGCAAATTATTTCGTGGGGAAAATGCCGGCAGCAGCGCGCGGACGGCCCGGCTGCCTACCGTTAGGTGAAGGGTCGCGGGATGGGAGCCCCGCTTGTTTTATGGGAGCAAAAGAGAAGGCTGTCTAAGGGGCCATCCCTACCGGTGTTGCAGAGGAGCCTCGGTGACTGCACCCCGAAGAAATGCAACCCAGGGATGCCATCCCTCCCTCCCTCTCTTCCTCCTGGTCCACTGCGGAGGAGCGAGAGCTGGAAAGGGCCCCCTTGACCACTTGCAGCTCCAGGGCCGCCAGCACGGCCAGGTAAAGAGCTGCACCTCGCCCCCAGCCCACTCGGGCTGCTTTCCATATCGGGCAGCACGCGTCCTTAAGATCCAATCTGCCCGGTAACAATGAGCGCGCAGCAGCGAGAGCCCCAGAGCCATTGGCTATGCAAATAGAGGGAGGGGAAGCGGCGCCCTAAACTCCACACTCGCACTTTTAAGGCGGTATTTCCCTACCAGCAGCCAACGCCGGGGAGTGGGGGCGGTTGCCGGCAGCGTGCTATCCGCACGCACCTCGGGGCCGCCTCCGCGCCCCAGGAGCTCAGCTCCGGCGGTGGGCGGCTCCTTCTCCCTCGGGAGCCTCAGCCTCGCAGCGGGCTGCAGCACAGGCTTCACAAAGTTGACACATTTTCCAGGCGGCTGCTTTGCGCCGGCCGAGAGGTAGGCGAGGCAGCGAGGTGCGGGCTGGGGCAGGTGGTTCGTGCAGAAAGCGGACATGAAGCGTGAGCGGTCGGCCCCGTGCCGCGGACGCGCGTGGTGGGCTGCACTCGGCGGCAGCGGCGAGCATGGCTGGCGTGAGGAGGGCTGAAATCGCACGGTGCGGGACTCCCTGCCCCCATCCGGCCCTCCCTTCTCCACCCGCGACATTTCCTAAAAGTTGTATCGCTGTGACTGTGCGCTGCTAAAGCAGCTTGCCTGCTAGAAATGGAGCGGAAAAAGTAACAGTGTGATTATCGCTACATTTCTCCCTGAAAACGCTGCCGAACGCTCACCCTTCAAGGAGCTCTTCTTCCGCGTTTGCTGTTAGGCTGCAGTTAACAGGTTCTGCCCCCATGGCTGCGTAGTCAGGGTGTATAAGGGGGAGGAGTGGGTAAGGCGCCTGGGGAGCCGGGACGCGCATCTGGCGCTGACCCAAACCAGGGCATTTCGCGTACAAACCATGTAGTGTCTGTGGGTGCGGGGGGAGCCCATGGCTTCTCAGAAAAGGGGAGGACGGATTCAGGCAGGCTCCTGGAGAAGGAAAGTGTGGAACAAGTTCGGTTCTGCCGCTGGGGAGGGGAAAAAAAAAAAAAAAAAAAAAAAAAAAAAGGAGAGAGAAACTGACGTTTGTGAATGTGTCTCCCTGTTCGAGGGCCTCCGGGTTCCTTGTTAGCTTATAGAGTGGAAAAGAAAAAAACACACAAAAAAACCAACAGCGACCCGCGTTTGATGTTACGCCTGACCAGCTGCAGTGCTCCATAATAACGAGAGCTGCCTGCCCTAGTGGTTTGCGTCACTTCGCTTCAACTTTAGGCTAGAAATCAAGAGAGAAGGACAAACGAACTTCAAGGGAGGCAGGAACAGGCTAGAAACGCCGCCGCCCTCCTCCTTTATCCTTCTTCTTTCCCCACCCCCTTCCTTCTCCCCCCCTCCTCCAACCTCCCCCCTCTCCCCCCCCCCCCGTGAAAACTTTTCCATCAGAGTAAGAGGAAGATCGCTTTGGGAACATGGAGTTGCTGTGCTGCGAGGTGGATCCCATGAGAAGAGCTTTGCCGGACCCGAGCTTGCTCTATGACGACCGTGTTTTGCACAACTTACTGACGATAGAGGAGCGGTATCTGCCCCAGTGCTCCTACTTCAAGTGCGTGCAGAAGGACATCCAGCCCTTCATGAGGAGGATGGTGGCCACTTGGATGCTGGAGGTTGGTGCAGGCAGACCCGCGAGCAGCACCTACGTCTGTCCCGTCCTCTCACCCCCCACACCCATTTACCCCTCCGGTAGCGGGGATTGTACTTTTTGTGTATGTTTCTATTTTCTCGCCTTTTAACTCCACCTACAGAGCCTGCCCAGCACCCGTCGGGTTGAGGTGGGGGCAGGGGCTTCGAGCATCCCCCAGTCCTCGAAGTGAAATGGCCCTGCCGGGGCCTGCCGCCGCTCAAAGCGGGGTTCCGAGAGGGGAGGAAGGGATGGGGGGGAGGTTGGAAAAGTCATTTGCAAGTAAAAAGATGAGCCGTCTCCGGCTGCGAACGCCTGGGATTGAGGACCTTTTGGGAAAAGGGAGCCAGGGTAGGGCAAGGGACGGAGGGTGAGGAGTGCCCCCCACGTTTTGCTCGGCAAGTATTTTACGACCACGTATGCACTGGTTAAGACGTGCCTTTTTTTTCGCCATATTGAGCTGCATGCAACTGCTCGAAGGCGCTCAGCCCGTCTTCCCATTCCTTCCAAAGAAGGGGCACCCCGAAGCACCCTGCCGCCACGCCCCGGGACCGCAACGTGGCCGGGGGCTGCTGGGAAGAGCGCAGCGCGATCGTGGGCCGGAGCCCCGCGGATTTAGCTGCCTTGCCCTGGCCCCACCGTCCTGATTTGCCCCTTTTGATCTCTAGGGGGTGGATTTTTACCAGATCTTCCCCCTCAGCTCCCTCGGTTGAGTACCGGACCCCCTGTTCTGTTTTCATGTGCAATTTGGCGCGTTTTCTTGCCGGCTCCGATTTTTGGTAAATTTTTGAAATAATTTTTTCTGTCTCCTCTGCGTTCTAGCTGCTCAGCCTCTCCCCACCCCAGCTCGCCCTTGCTGCGTTTCTCCCGGCCTTCCTTCCCCCCCCCGGGACGACTTACGGGCGTGGGTCTGGAGGATGCCCCCCGGGGGAATTTTTGCAATTGTCGGAAACGATGGGGGACCGCCCCGGGATGCCACCCGCACCAAAACTAGGACCCTTGGAGAGGCTCAGATATTTTTATCGATTTTTTGAAAATATGACGAAATTACTGAAAAAAAAATCTCGGAGGCTGCTAGCTTGCAGCTGGATGAGGCTTTTCGGCTCTCCCACACAGTGTCTTGAATTCATTTCTCATTCAATGGAGTAAAGGAATGTGAAAGCCGATTGACAAGCCTTCCCAGCCTCTCCAGAGGTATCCCCCTCCCCCAGAATTTAGCTCCCCGATAAAGAAAATCAGGAGGGGCTGAAGTGCCAAGGCACTAGTATGTTTTGTGGGATTAGTCATTTGTTTATTTTTTTTACTTGTCTCTTTCTCCCCCCTACCCATGCTACTCGCCTGCAGGTCTGTGAAGAACAGAAGTGTGAAGAAGAAGTTTTCCCTCTGGCTATGAATTACTTGGACAGATTCTTAGCTGTGGTGCCCACTCGAAAGTGCCATCTGCAGCTACTGGGGGCAGTGTGCATGTTCCTGGCCTCCAAGCTAAAAGAGACAATCCCCCTCACAGCAGAGAAGCTTTGCATATACACGGACAATTCCATCAAACCCCAAGAGCTGCTGGTAAGCAGCCCCCTTACGCCTCAAGCACATCCGCTCTCTGCATCAGCACTTGCTGACAGCCTTCTCTGCTTTTCTCCTTCTTTCCCCCCCACCCCAGTAAGTCGGCACTTGTACCACTCTGTTGCCCACCCATCTTTGAAAATCACGCTTTCCACTATTTTTTTTTTTTTCCCACACGCTCTTCTGCGAATTGTCAAAATGTGCTGGAGGCACCCACGTGACTCAGAGGGATCGACCCAAAACTGCGGGCGTGCTGTGCCCGAGGGGCGGGACCGCAGGGGGGGTCACCGTCACCGCCTCTGGCTCCTTCGCAGCTGTACGCCACGCGGTATCCAGCTCCCGTTTACTGTGCCGCTGTCTGGCGCGCTGGCGGCCGGAGCTGCCGAGCGCGCACGCCTTGCACCCTGGCGCCGGGCTCTCGCCGCGGGGCCTTTTCCCCGGGGCCGCGGCGCACACGTGCACCGCGGGGCCACCGGCGCTGCGCAGTTCAGCGTGGCGCTTCCTCGCCACCTGGTGGCAGACACGCGGAACCGGGCATGACTTCATCCCTTGAAGCGCTGCCAGGCAGCCCAGCTCCCCGACTGCTGCCTGCCGGCCTTGCGCGGTGCAGGGAGACGCAGCCATCTGCCCTCCGGGGTCTTGCAGAAGTACCACCTGGTGCTGCGGTTAGAGGCTCTGGTTAGAGGCAGTGCGGTTGCTCTCGTTCTGCAGCAAGAGGGGACTTTGGCTGCAGGATGTCGTCGAGGAAGGTTGAGGTGCCAGGTACTGTGTGGCCGATAGGGGTTGGCCTCAAGCACTGTTACAGTTGAGGAAGTTGTGTCTTTGTTGTTGCAGGTCTGGTTTCCAGTTATCTCCGAGGTGAAAATCGAGCTTGGTTAAACGCTATAAGTTAACAGGCCTGTCTGGTACTGATGACTTAAAGGTGAAAATAGACATCAGGAAGGGTGGAAGCAGAATCATAGTCATTTGTTGGAATAACTAACATTTACAGAGTACTAGATGAGTGTTGGGCCTGTACGTGAGATGTATTGCTCAGATTTTTTGTCATGGAACTATTGGTTACGTGTAGCAAGCTGAATCTCACCAGAATTAATCACTTGGTGAGGCCAGTGAGAATTCCCCCAGGGAGGGGCCGGGAACTCACTCATCTGTAGAATAAGGGGCTGTGGGCTGCAAGCCCTGGTATAGCTGTCACAGATGTCCCGTAGATGGTGTTGGCTGCCCCAGGATATGTCATGTCCCATATGAGAAGGAAGTGATAATGTACCTCTTCTTATGTCACATTGATTGAAGCCTGTTTTAAGAACTTCCCTGCATAGCCTTCTATGCTTTTCCCTATCAGAATCTGTCCTGTTAGTTGTGTTTGGACCCATTACTGGTCCTCAGCTTACATAAGTTGCCATTTTGTTCAAATGTTTCACAAATCGAGAAAGAGAAGAAAAACAAAAACATTTATAGGCTCTGTTACCTACGTGAACGTGACATTTCCAAGCTATGGTGAGCTTTGCCGTAATCCAATAGGAATGTCTATAGGAAAGTAACTTGCTGTTACAGCAGGCATCTATTCAGAGAAATGGCTGCAGAAATTGCATTGTAGGGTCCATGTTTATGGTTTCTCAGCAACCCTTATTGACGTCTCCTTGACTGCAAAATTAAAGGACTTTTATTTTTTTGGGTTTTTTTTGTTTTTTTTTTGGCTTGGAAACTCTACAAACTTAGCTGGGGCACCCTGCTATGCTGGGTTCCATCAGGCTAACGCATTATTAAGACTCAAGAATCAGGGCATGGAATTTAGTTAATGACTGATAGTTGTTGCGTGAGACAGGGACAAGGCCTGAGTTTTGTTCACAGTCTGGGGCGCTGAAAGGTATTCAAAACTTTATTTTAAATGTTTACAAATGTAGATATAAGCCCTGCGAAGAGGATCACATTTGTTGATGAGGTATCTCTTCTGTGTCACATTGTAGTGAATGGCCAGTAATTACATACCCACCCAAGTTTTCCTTTGATTTCACTTGGAGTTTGGGGCATGCAAATAATGTGGGGTTAGATCCTACATTATTTATTGGTTTATAATTTACCCTAAAAATAGACTACTTCTTGACTGTGTTAATGAGCGTTTTCTTTCTGCAAAACTTTAAGCACCACCAGGTTTGTCTGCAGGAACTTTTTACTATAGTTTTGGAAAGAATGCCATCAAATGTATTTCCCCCATTTTGAAAGGGAGTGTAAATTATTTTTGTGTCATTATCCCTAGGACCTTAAATGATAAGAAGGAATAACTATAGCCATTTAAAAGAAGTTACTAGGAAAGGACCACAGTGACCTTGTCAGAATGTAATTGCAGGCTAAACTTTCTGGGTGGGCATTCAACACAATACAGAAAGAGTAAAATCTTGGTTGGAGCTGCCAGGTCTCATTATTTCCAGTACAGTTTAACTTTTCCAGCGTTGATGGGGGGGATGGGGAGTGGAGAATGAAGTAAACAGCTTCAAAGCAGTAGGAGCATACTAAAAAAAAAAAAAAAAAAAAAAAGTTTGAGCAAAAACCAATTTAGTAGTGATATAATTACAATCAGAGAAATAAAGTGTTTTCTGCAGGTTGCTTACGGCTTGTCTTCTCCACCCTAACCCCCTGCAGGAATGGGAGCTCGTGGTACTGGGGAAGTTGAAGTGGAACCTTGCAGCTGTCACCCCGCATGATTTCATTGAGCACATTCTACGGAAGCTGCCTCTACCTAAAGACAAGTTGGTTTTGATCCGAAAGCATGCACAAACGTTCATTGCCCTTTGTGCCACAGGTAGGCTAAGGTGCTCTGGGTATGCCTGCATGTGATGTGATGGAAAGATGAGTTGCTGGTGGCACAAAGACTTTTCGTCTCTGGATCCTTATTGTGGTGTGGAAAGAGCTGTTCTTGCTCTTGGGACTGTTTGCAAATAAGCCTTCGTGCTGTGTACTGATGATCTTGTAACGGGGAGCTGTAAAGTGCCGGCAGTTCTGTACCTGCTGACTAATGCATGGTGCCAGTAAGACTGAATTAGTGTGATTTTCTGTTTTGCCCGATTCACTACACTTTTCAAAGGGCCACAGATTGTTTGTACAAACAGATACGGGATAGCCAAAGTAGTAGAAGCGTCACGACATAACATTCATTTTGGGCTAATGACAAGTTTTATAACTTTAACTGGACCCTGTCCAGTTAATGTGCCTGTTACGTTACTGAAGCACAGGGAATGCAAATGTTAGAAGTAATTTAAAAAAAAACAAACAAAAAACACAAACAACCCAGAACATTAGGATTCTTTCTCAAACTTGTTTTCAAGTAAGCAGCGAAACTACTCCTTTTGTAAGGAACCACTATGTTTTCCTTTTTTCCTGTGTTTGGTTGTACATGGTTTCTGAAGTGTTACGTAAGAGCAAAAGTCTCTATTCCATGGAAACAATTACTAGATATTGATCTGTAAAATTCTGTTTTGTTTTTTTTTTTCTTGTATACAAAAGCTAAAGTACCCTAATTTTCATTAGAAGGATTAACACTATTAGACTTTCACAGGAGCTAAATCTGGAGCGGATGGGCAGCATGCTATGTTTTACAGGGGTGTTTCGGGGTAGTACATGACTTAATGTGTAGGTTCTCTACAGTTTGATATGCTTAGTCTTTTGTGATGGGAACTTGATGTGCAGTTATGAGAGAGTCATTTTCCACTGGGTATTTACAGAGGGAAAAGGAACATCAGCTACAGCTTTTGGGTCATACAGATGCATAACTGCTTACCAATATGCCTGCTTTTTTGGTGTTTGAGATGTAGAGACTGTTTTTACAATGTAGGCCAGTTTTTGCTACCTCAGCTGATATGTTTTAAAAAATGCTAATTTGGACTGCTTTAGGGTGATTAACATTTCAGTTACTGCAGTGCTGTAGCTTTCCCTTTTTTTCCCACTGTTGTGTGATCCCTTTCAGGCAGAAGGACATGGAGCTCATTAGAAATACTGCTCCAAATCTACAGGATCAATCTTGGTAAGCCATCAGATATCTCTGGCCTAATTAGTATTTTACTTTAAAATTAATCGATTACATCAGCTTCATACTGGCTTTGCATTCTCTCCCTGCCCACTTAATGCTACCCTACTCTTTTCAATGCTGTTCTTACTCTCCTATGTGAAAAAAAGACCCTTCTTACCAATCTTATTTCCAGATCCAGTTGTTATTTCCTTTTTTTCTCTTATTTCTTATGGAGGTCTCTTCATCAGCCACTCTATTTCTTCTTTCCCTTTCTCCCTGAGAGCTTCTGCTCTCTGCCAGCTTGGATTAAGCCTGTTGTTTCGTTTCTCCATTTGCATTCTTTCAGCTAGATGACCTCCTTTGACATATGACGTGACATGACAGACTTTTCCCTTGCTCCTTCCATGCATGTGTCGAGCCTGTTTTTGATTCTTAAACATTACTAGACCTGGTCTTAATGGTTGGCTAATGGCTTCAGTCAGAGCTCGTTTTACGTCCTGATTCATCTCAGTGTGATGACTTCTGCTCTCCAATAGTTTTTCAGTCTCTGCATTTTTCTCTCTGTGCCTCTCTCCCCATTCATTGTAGTGAGTAACGATTCACATGAGCATGACTTAAACTGGAGCATGACTCTCCTTGCTGTTAGTTCCATATGAACATACTACTTCTAGGCAAGACAGAAGCATATTCTCTGAACAAGAGGTTTTCTCTTTCCCCTGCCCTACTGTTGCAGTGCTTTCTGAAGCCTCATTCTCCTCTGGAAGTATCTGGCAGTGAAGAACTAGGTCTAGAACTAGGTCTGCCTGTGTTTGTAAAGCAGCATCTGTGCCAGCAGGATACTGCTGAGTGAGGGAGAGCATAGTCTTTTGACTGGGAACTGACTGTACATAGGACAGCTTTCTTGAAGCTGCTTCACTCACTCACTGCACAGTAACAGCGTTCAGATGTGTCAGCATGTGCTGACACATGCTTGTCTTTCACAACATCATTCATTTTCTTACCCTGCTAGTGGCTACTGCTGTAAGCTAAAATCTTCTTCAGGAATCTTGTGAATCTTAAAGGCACTGAGAGCTGCAAACAGACTCTCTGCATTTACTGTATAGTAAAACCAGATGCTTACCTCTGTTTCAGAGTAAGAGGATCCTACTTACTTGCAAGCCCAAGATAAATCATTATTTTGACCTCCAGAGTCACATCTCTTTACCGCTCTTATCCTAGCTATATCTGTTAGTAACTTTTTATCCTTCATTGCTCATGCCATGGGCCCATTTCATGTGTTTCAAGTTGCAGAGTTGTACCTGGAGGAGCAGGAAATGTCCTGACTGCAGAGCTATATACCTGACTTGCCACATTGCAGACAGGAGGAAGACCTCCTGTCCTCGTTTCCACCACTACAGCTTGCCTTTTATTCTTCTTTTAGGTTGTGCAGCATTAGAGATGTCTGACAGCTTCCCTGTGCTAAGCTGTCACGATGGAGGCTGTGCATGGCACTGTTTTGGCAGAGGATAGATTTTTGTGTCTATGGACTGACGAAGGAATGGTTTTTGAGGGAGGAGAGGCAAACCAGGCTTCCAATAAGAGGAACTGTGCATTTCTGGGCACAGGCAGCAATGGAGAAGCTAATAACAGTGAGCAGATTTTGGGCATTTTATGTGAATGGTGTATAAAACTTGAAAGCAGAAAGCGCTGCAGATTCTCAGAGAGAGAAGGCAACTGTATAGATCTCTAGACTCATCTCTTTTGTATGGACTTTTGCTTTTGTATTTCAGTTTTAAGCCAGTTTTGTAGTGTGTGTTAGATATCTGCCCACTGTTTCTGGGGCTTTAACCATCTATGCTTGAAAGCTAAAAAGGGTGAAACGTGTTGTTTGCTGTTCCCTCCCCCTCATGTGTGTGGGTCTTTGTTTGTTTACTTCTGGACCAAATCAGACAGAAGTTCTGTGAAAATCAGTGCAATGGAAGTGTTGTGTGAGCAAAGACTGCAATTACTGCCCTAATCCTGGTGACCTAGAGGATAACCACATGGAATGCTGTGTAACACCGAGAGGTTCTCAGGGCTCCTGCTGGGCAATGTGCTGTGCATTCTTTCCTTTTTAGCCAATGTGAGACATTTTAGGTTCGGTCCCTGCAGAACGTGAAATGCACTACATGTTTTAGTTGGGATCTGCTCTTCACAGAGAGAGGAAAAAAATAAAAAGTCCACGGAGACTTTTAAGTGGATCAGACTCATAGAAGGAAAATAAGTGTTGTGAAGTAATAGTAGTTGCATAAATAGTTCTTGCATGACACATGTCAGAAGAAAGAATAATCCTCATGATTTTATTGCTAGGCAAAGACAATTTGCTTATTCCTGGGAAGGACAGTTCATATTAGTATATCAAGCTCTCTGTCAGAGTGAAGCTGCAAAAGCCATTACTGGTCCATCAGCAAGTAGGCAGGGCCTGGGGTGTACTTGTATGGGCAGAACCACTCCTTAAGTTGCAGAACCATCTGACTGGGGAGGATGAGGCGGAAGAAGATGAAGGAAAAGAGCCTTTGCTGACATATGCTGGCAGAATTCCTGTGCTGTCAGATAAGTTACTGTTCTTCCTACCTGTTGCAGTTTTGACCTTCTGATGGCTTAAGTGCTAAATGTAATCATGATCTTGATTAAGTTATCATATTGAATTTGTAGAACAAATTACAATAATCATAAAAAATAGTTGTTCAGAAATAGTTTATCATCAGCTAATGAGCGTGTTGTGTTGAGTGCTCATATACTTGCTTATGTAAAGTGCTCAGCATGTTTTCCAGTCTCTATCTCACTTGGGTTGTGAGATAGCATTAGCATTTAGGATGGTTTAAATACATTCATACCAAGGCCAATCTTTTTAGCATTAGTATAGCCTATGAGTAGAATTAAATGTCTGCCCTCCCACCTACCTCAAAGGAAAGGAGCACTTACATCTGCATCCTATTTTACTTAATAGTCTTTTCTTTGGTTATACTTGGCACTGGTGTAACATTTTTTGAAGTGCTAAGAAGTCAGCTGATTATGCCTTTAAAAGCAGTAATAGTTAACACTGGGGAAAAAAATTCTGTGCATTGTGAAGTACAAAAGCAAGAGGAAAAAAGAATCTACCAACTGCATTCAAAAAAGCATGTGAACGAGTGTTCATGTGCTTTTTTTTTTGAAAGCAGCTGATAGAAAGTGCATGCACTTGGATCAAACCAGGCAAGAATCAAAAGCATTGCGTGTATTGTTTTCCTATGATTTTTTTGTTTTTAAACTTATCTCCTAAAATGAAAATTCATGCTTTTCCTCATGGTAATATCACTGGCTGGGTAAAGTTCAAGGCTAGGTGAAATTGAGATGTAAGCATTTAAATAGCAGTTTATAGACGGATATTGTTGGTTGTCATTATTCTGTTCTCCTGACGGACTTAACACACCATTCTTTACATTTTCTTTTCTCCCATCCTTAAGAACTGTTTTCAAGACAGGAGTTTCCTGTGCTGTTTGTTCGCAGAGCTGCAAATGCCTCTGTCAAATTCTAGGGATGAATGCTGGCTGTTAGAATAATGGCCTGCAGCCAGAGCAGTAACAGAGGTCATTGTAAGAAGGTGGAGTTTGCACCTGATCTTGGCACACTGAGGATGTTCAGCGTGGTGTTGATGTACTTTGCCTTCTAGCAGTTTTCTTGCACAGGCAACTGTGAGTTCCCGCCTCTGGTTGTATCCTTTAGTCTGACTGCCAACTTCTGATTTTCCTGATTTAGATACATAGTGAAGTTCACTGGATCTGCTTGCAGGAGTGAGCCAGCAAAATAGCTCAACTGTTCTTCGCAGGGTACCTGACTATTTGTCAGTTTTGCTGCATGTGCAGAAAAAACATTCTTGGCATGTGCATACATTGGTGTAGAGCATACTGTTTGAAAGAAGAATGTCTACTGTCTAGGTACCCTGATTTGTTCTGGCTGTCTGGTCCATAGCTGGCTGTCTTTCAAATGATGCTGTTTCTTACACTTTTTTTTTTTTTTTTTTTTTTTTTTCTTTCCAGCCCTGAAATTGCCTGTAGAAGTCAAAGGGTTGTGCAAGGTTGGACTAGATTTTTATTATCTTTCAAGGAAAAAAAAGATAGTTGGAGATGAGGATGGTTCACTGTGCTTATTACCTGGGGATAATAGAAGGCAAAACAAATCCTGCTTTCTAAAAAGCCATTTCTTTCCTTGAAGTGTTTGAATGTTTCTATTTTCTTAGACTAGACATTGTTGTGCTACCTCTCTTGCTTTCAGCAAGACTTCTGTATTTTGATGTAGAGTTGCAAAGTTAAAAGTCAGTGCTATGTCTTGAGAGCAGGCACTGGGTTTGCGTTAACCAGGGTTATGTGTGTATCTGAAAGAGAGATCTAGCTCATAGCCTGATTTCGGGTGTCCTGTAAGAAGTTCTTGTTATAAGATTCTCTCTCTAATTCAGATTTTATCAGCACCAGCATGTATTTTAAGTGAAAATACATGTCTAAAAGCCAAATGTTTTAAATCCGCTCCTCCCTTTTATTTTATTTTATTTATTTTTATTTTTTTTCTTAAATGTCAGGACAAGCTTTTGTCCTGTAAGTCTGGGGGTGGGTTTACCTGTAAGGATGACAAGATTTGAGTTATAACTGAGGAATTGGGGTATGGGGATTATAATCTAAAATGACATGTAAAAAGCTTGTTTGGAATTTCTTTATAAAATGTAAGAGACTTGGGGAGGGGTTTTGCATCCCATCAGATATGGTGCTTAATACTTACGCTTTCATTGCACCTTGAAAAACATTTCACGTAGTTATTACTTTGTTTGAATATGGAAATATGTTAATTAATGCCTTTGTTCCACTGCCTGCTCTTTTCCTCAGCTTTTTCTATTCAACCCTCTAGGTGGCCTAGCACAATGTGGCTTCTTTTCTTTCAATGAGCTCTTTCTGCACTAATAGGGTCCAGGGTGATGTGGAGAACCATGTGCACAAAATTGGTCCACCACCCCCCCCATCCCTTTATGGGCATGTCAGGTTAAATTCATATCAGCAGGAGGGTCACTGTCATGATTTTCAATAGCGTAAGATGAGGTGATGACTTCAGACAATGGTGCCACACTCTCCATTTGGAGACACTTGCCTCACCAGTTGCATTAGTTAATTAATATGCTAAAAATAGGGGCGAGTGATACAAATCACTGCCTGTTGTACAACAAAGGCTGGGCATGTGTAGCTTTGATAGCCAAGTTTATGGTGCTTGTTATGGAGGGAAGTTAGTTTAGAGCTAGAGGCAATGTAAGACTTTCAGGATGCTGAGCTTTAGTCAGTCTGGGCCTCTGGCCATTTGCTTGCTGTCTCATTTGCATTATGAATGACATTAAGGGAACTAACAAGGTTACTGGACATAGAAATGTTCTCATGTGACCCCACGTGGAAGCCGACCTACAGCAGTGCTAGTTGGCAGGGGCACTGTGGCTCTTTTATTTGGCTTCCTAGAAGACGGTTTTTGGGAGTGTGCAACTTGCAGGTATAAAAGAAAAACCAGTGTTCACGTAATATGGAGATCCTAACGTAAGCTTCCGGGAGCCAAGGAAGTTCGAAGGGGATGCTGGACATGTGGCTTGAGCTGTACTGAGCATTGATTTGACATCTGGTGACAGGACAAGGAGCAGTGGATGCAAGTGGGACATAGGAGGTTCCACATAAATATGAGGAAAAAATTTCTTCAGAGTAAGGGTAACAGAACACTGGAACAGGCTGCCCAGAAAAGTTGTGGAGTCTCCTTTGGAGACATTCAAAACCCACCTGGACATATTCCTGTGTGACCTAATCTAGTTGTTCCTCCAGGGGGATTGGACTAGGTAATCTTTCAGGTCTCTTCCAATCACTGACATTTTGTGATTCATTGGGTGCACAGCATAAGCATCCCCCATTACTCTTTTCTTCCCTGCCAGACACCTTGAGTAATGCTGTGTTGTGGAAGTACTCACAAGGATGTGGGCATCTGGGCCTTCAGGAGGATCTGTTTCCCTGTTGCTGGCATGAATGTTGGGTTGCAGTGGAGGCATTTTATTCTTACCTGCTGCATTGTAGCTACTGTACAGACCATCCAAACTCTGTAAGAGTCATTTATTTATTTATTTATTTATTTTTACAATGTCTTACCTGAAAATTGCAAGAAAGAGGAATAAATTGTGGAAAATCAGTTGTCACTGGTATTTCCCTAGTTCTTGTGCACAATTAGAATGCAGTTTGGTAAGTCTGAAAATCAAATACTAGAGATGCATCCCACCACCTCCTTGGTAAAGCACGGCATTGTTCCTGCTAATGAACAAAAGGATTTGCCAAATACAAGTCAGTACTCTCACAGGTATTAAGCAGGTATTGTCTCTCAGCCTACTTTGTTATGCATGTTATCAGCCAGTAATGCCATCAGCTCCCATGACAACTTGCTGTGTCTGGATGTCTGAATGTGTCTGAAATGTACTGAAGTCAAAGAGCCTGAACTCATTGTTCCCAGTTGAGGGCTTAACCTGGGGACACTAAACCCAAGCAATTGCAGCATGTGCAAGAGTGGAAGCAGATCTGTGAAGATATCTCCTTCCCTAATTCCTTTCTGTAAAAATTAGTGGATTCACTCATGAGTCACTCTGTGGGAAAATGTTCTTGGGACCCATAAATGTTGCTTGAATATTTTTCAATTTTATAAACATTTTTTACTTTCTTCAGGGGCTGAATGAATTACAGAATGGCATGGCTTGGAAGGGACCTTAAAAATCATCTAGTTCCACTCCACTTTTCTGTGGGCAGGACTGTCAGCTGCTAGGTCAGTTTTCCCAGGGCCCCGTACAACCTGGCCTTGAACACCTCTAGTGGGGGGCATCCACAGCTTCTCTGGCAAGCCTGTTCTAGTGCCTCACCACCCTCCCAGTGAATCTCCCCTGTTCTAGTTTAAAACCGTTTCCCCTTGTCCTCTCACTAGCCACCTGTGTAAAAAACAGTTGGATTTTCTCCTGTTACAAGCTTTCTCTTAGTATTGGAAGGCCATGATCATAGAATCATTAAGGTTGGAACTTAAATCATCTAGTCCAATCACCAACACATCACCACCATTCCACTAAATTATGTAGTCAGTGTTGCATCTGTCCTTCTCTTGGAAAACTCCAAAAATGGTGACTGTAACATCTTCCTGGGCAGCCTGTTCCAATACCTCACTACCCTTTCTGAGAATGTTGGGGGTTTTTTTGTGGTTTTTTTTTTTTTTGTGTTTTTTTTTTTTTTTTTTTTCTTTTTTCTGAACATCCAACCTCAAACTTCCCTGGCGAACCTTGAAACCATTACTTCTGGTCCTATCACTAGTTAGTTACTTGGCAGAATGAGACCAACCCTCACCTCGCTACAACCTCCTTTCAGATTGTTGAGACAATGACCTGAGCTTCCTCCAAACTAAACAACCCCAGTTCCCTCAGCTGCTCCTTGTAATATTTGTGTTCCACACTCTAGACCAGCTTTGTTACCCTTCTCTGAACATGCTCAGGGCCTCAATGTCTTTCTTGTAGTGAGGGTCCTAAAACTGAACACAATATTCAAGGTACAGCCTTGCCAATTAGGAGTTCCCAGAGCCTTCTGGACAGTCATTCAAACATATAAATGTTTACTTACTTTACAAAAATACCTGTTTATTGGAGTCCTGGAATCATTCCTGATTTTCATGGTTGCACTTTGTAAACTGGAGGCTCATGCTTCTTCCACAGAGCCATTAGCTGCCCAGTCTGTGGGTGAGTTTGTGCAGGAATGAGCTGCTGCAACAGTCATCAGATTCAAGACCTAGGCCCTCTAGTAACTGAGAAGAGACAGGATGTCTTAAAAGCAAAGGCTGTTTTGAGCAAGCATCAAGCAAGATGTCTTGTCAGAAGAAGTAGTGAGTTCTGCTTAAGATCTCACTGTATTTATTACATATTCTTGGGGAATGGCTCAACAAGAACTGTAATGGGCAGAAGCACTGAGGATAGCATGTTCTGGGAATGCTTGTGCTATATGTGTCTGGCAGCACTATTTGTTTACACCACATATTTACAAACTGGGCGGTTCCTCTGCAGGATGAATTTATGTGAGGCAAATATGAAGCGCTGATTTTGACGGTGGAATTGTAATTCTCTGAATGTTAGTGTTGTGATTTGTGATGTGCACTGAGATGAGCTCTCACTGGACTGTGTCCGGTACTGACAAGTAAGGGTCAAGGCTCTCCTGCTGACTTAACTGTTAATTAGAGCAATATAAAAATTGTCAAGTCCATCAGCTTTCCTATATATACACTACTACAGTATAATTATTGTTTTTGTAATAATAATGGTTCATACTAACTGGTTCTGTTAGTGGGAATTTACTCATTCAGAAGTATCTGAGTGTGATGTCTTCTGAGCTCAGCTTTTGTGTGTGAAAGAGTCATTTCTGTGCAGCTGTGACCTGCAAGTAGTTGTCTTTTAGTGGCTTCATGAGTCAGGTAAGTCTGTGTGAGGATTTCAGCTCTTTCCTTTATTTCCCTAGTTCTGACATCCATTCTCCTGTCCCTGTGGGTAAATGTTATCACCAGAATCACAGTTTTCTCTGTTCCTCGTGGATACCAGGGACGTACTTTAGCCTGGAGAACAGTATGACATCTCCACAACTGTTCCACTGTCTGCCACTTAAGCATTTGGGAGACTGAGGGAGAAAAAAGCTCTGTTTAAAACTTCTGCAGTCACACAGAAATCATCAGAATTCCAGTATTTATGCTAGCTAAATAGAGAAGACTTGGCACGTGTCCTAAGCAGAAGGGCAGTTTTTAGTATCCATGTGACTGTATAAGTAGACTGAATGCATCAAGAGCTTTCCTTTTTTTTTTTTTTTTTTTTTTGTACTAGATATTGCTTGGATTTCTTTCTCCTCCTCCAATGGAAAATTGGTAGAGAAGTGTTTATTAATGAGCTATTGCTGATTAAAACAACTTGCAAACTAAGTTTTATGTTAGGAAGGTATTTGTAATCTAGAAAAAATGAGGATCATGTTAGGTGAAAGAAGTACAGGTAAGCCAGTGCCTACAGCAGGATAAAACACAAGGTTGCCTTATAAAGGTCACAAGAGCATTCAATTTAATTTTCACTTATCTCCTAATTTCCACAGATAGGTGAGAAGTTTTGAAATGCCTTTCAACTTGTCATTACTATTATTTTTTAAGAAACAAATGTGGCATTTGTTTTTTCTTTGATGGCATAGCTGTAAGTATTCTCATTTGCTAATTGCAAAGGTACTGAACATAGAGTAGTAAAGATGAATTGTTAATTAAAATCTCTTTCCCAAACAGCTCTTTAAATGCTTGAGTTAATCAAGTCTTTAAATTTGATGTGATTTAAAATCTTAGTTCATTGTTTTTTGAAACCTTATTCCAGTTAGTTTTCTATTTATACATGGAGCTCTAATGTGACTAAGATCCAAATTTCTGATGTTGATTACAGAAAGCCTTTCTCTTCTTTCCTTTTTTTTTTTTTTTTTTACTAAGTCTGTTGAAAATTTTCCAGATTTTCTTTATGCATCAATGAGAATAAAAGACTAAACTACATTTCCATCTTAATTTGCAGATCTGTTTCATCTCCTTTGACTACTTGTGATGAGTAGTGTGACTAATGAGCTCAGTCAGACCCAGGAGTTTTTCTACGTTTTTACTCTTGGGTGTGGCTTTTATGTTGATGCCTCTGTTCTGCAGCTTTTCTGGTCTGGGCTTGGACTAATTCCCAGATCTGTTCTTACAGATTTTAACTTTGCCATGTACCCACCATCAATGATAGCAACTGGAAGTGTGGGAGCAGCCATCTGTGGCCTTCAGCTTGATGATGGGGACAGATCGCTCTCTGGTGACAGCCTAACAGACTTTCTGGCCAAGATTACAAGCACAGATGTGGTGAGTGTCATGGATTCCTGTTCTTGTTTCACTTCTGAGAACCCTGTGGAAAAACTGAGCTGTCCATCAAACTTGGCCTAATCCTGAGAGCCCAATGGAGTGAAGGGGAGGGGGGGGAGTTCTACTGCAAGTGGACACCTTGTTGGAAGACCTCTGGATGTCCAGAGCTCCTTGACCTCATGGGAATCACTCCTCATCATCATGTTCTGTTCAGCAGCTTTGTGAGTAGAGCCTGCTTTGCCTCATCTTGTACTTGGGCCTACTCCATCCACCGTGACTGATGCTGAGGCTTGTTATAGGGGAGCAGTCACCTTTAGTGCCCTAGGGCTCTGATGTAGAATAGCAGACAGCATCTCCCTATAGCTTAAGGTAAACTAGTATGTGCACAGGAACAGCAGGCCTGCGCTCCCAGTCTTGAAACTGCTGTTCTGACCCTCACTGGGATACCTTCCAAAAATCTTTGGCATAAAGGAGGAGAATACTGAGCTAATCCTCCAGCGCCAGCATAGCAGGAGATGGGTATGACCCAAGCTGTCTGGATTTCTGTCGCTAACCTCATTGTAAGCACTCATTTTAAGAAATTAATGCTTCAGATTGTCAGGAAGTCCTTTTGTCAATAGGGAGGTGGATCTGATATTGATTCAGTAGTGCCTGAAAAGTGATTTAGTGAGTACATACGAAAAATGCAGACCAGGCAGGTCTGCATGATAGACTGAGCTGGGAGGACTAAAAGGGAATGCTCAGATCACCTTTACTAGGAGTGGTAACTCTCCAGTTGCATTGCTACGTTGGTAGTGGGCCATGGAAGGTAGAGTCTGTGCTACTGCAAATCCATGTTCCTTGATCTGTGGAAAACATGAGTTTAATCTGTTGATAACCTGACAAGTTTTGCCATGTTGAAGTACACCTGAAAGAAAACGAGTGGGACCTAATGGAAGGCAGGCCACAAATAAAATACTTACCATAAAATTATCAGTTACCAATGTGTCCTTAACCCTTTATCCTTAACCTGTGTTCAACATAAATCCTCTAACAGCTTGTGGAGTAGATATTCTGTGCGATTATTAGATTTGTAATAACGTTGTGAAGAGAAAATTGGTGGTGTTTTTTGGTTTTTTTTGTTTTTTTTTTTTTTTTTTTTTTTTTTTTAAAAACGTTCTAAACGTTCTAAATTTGGGCTAAACTTTAACGTTCTAAATTTGGGCTAAAATATTCCAGTTTAACTGAAAGGGAAGAATTTCAGTTTTTTTTCTTTCTTTAGGTGAACTGAGTCTAATTTCAAAGTGCATTTCTAGGTCTTCCCGTTTCTTTTGGTTGGAAGTGAATTTTGCAAAGGAAAAGAAACATTACCAATTCTGAATGCTTGTAATGTAAATCATGTAGCTTTTGAAATTAAATATACACTCATTTCAAGTGAAAGTTTCACATAGGTGATTTGCCTTTTTGTGCCATTTTTATAGACATGGAGGAACAGTGGTGGTACATTGCAGTAAACAGCAGAAGCACGCAAGAAGAATCCTATATAACAGTTCAGACTTCATGGCCCTATGCAAGTAATGCATAGCACTCATTTGTATGGTTGTTCCGTTTAGAGCAAGAAAATCTATAAAGTTTACTTAATATATTTAGAAAACAAGAATTATCAGTTATTAAAATTGGCAGTTATTGGCTGACTGAAATTTTCTACTTGGGTGTTTGATTGGATGCAATGTGGTAAGTTTTGGATGCAGCATCCATCAAATGTCAGGAAGGACTCTAGACTCTAGATATCAAGTTAACAGATGTGAGTGGACATGAGAAAATTGGATAAAGGAAGACTAAGATTTATAAAAGACTTGAGACTTGTTAATATGAGTGCTGCTTTTGGTAATAGTCGTGGATATCCTAATAATAAGGAAAACTGTTGCTGCTATCCATTGAGAGCTTGTGGAACTACCAGTAGTATGAATGTTATGGAGTTTTGGAAAGATTGGAACTATCCTGATTTTGCTTGTTACATGGAAAAGCAAGGTGAAATGGACTCCTTGACTGCTTCTTGTTTTCATGCTCATTTTTACTGATGTATGCCCCACAACCATTTATGTCCTTGTGTTTCAAACCCCATCCTGGGACTCATCTAATTTAAATATGAGGGAAAGACCATCTGTTCTTGTTTTGAAGTTGATGATGGGGAGTTGCTTGGCTTCTAAGAATACAGTGTTGTCTGAGTCAGAGAACTTTAAAGATGCAATTTTTCCATCACTAGACCATGTTCCATACCCGTGCACTCCAGATAAATGTCTGAAACTATTTTCACTTGTCAGAGGGGAGATGCTAGGGTAGTCCTGTCGTGTTTCTCTCTGTTGTATTTAGTAGGTTTTGATCAACCATTGAGTTCTGTCTTTCTGGAGATGTCAGGGAGTTGTTTAGGATAGTCTTCAGTTTCCCTATGCAGTCACATGGATCTTTTTCCTAGCTCATCTTCATTGTGGACAAGTCTGGCTTTCAGAGACAACATGCTGCTGATCATACTCAAGTTTTAGGTGAGGGTAAGCGGGCTCAACATAAGGGGCACACGGGCTACATAACTGGAATCTTGCAAAACACTTGTATTTACCTGGATTCCTCCACAGTAGGGGGAAGGGCATTTCCTATCCTTACCTTGTCAGCATCTGACCATTGCTTTCTGTCTTTGCTGTGGCAATCTGCTCCTTACTCACATTTAGACTAGGCTATTGCAGTTCATGCTGCATGGGACTCTTTTTGGATAACATTTATATACTCAAGCAAGGCTGGACACAGCTGTTTGCTTACGTAGTTGCTTGTTTTGGTGGCGATTAAAGCCACAGGCGATAAAATCACAGGTTTACCTACTCTACCTCCTTTTGTGTTTTTTTTCTGGTTACTGTCAGGTGCGTTGCTGTTCCACCTTCGAGACTGTACTTGAATGAGGATCCCAGCTGTTGCAGAACCTGGCTCTTCCCATGCTCTGTTTGCATATCAGGGTTGTTTTTGAAGGCTTTTAGGGACAAATGAGAAGTCACAATAGGGTGCCTTTCTCTTTGGATTTTCTTTCTTCTACATCTAACAGAACCCTTGTTAATTGACTTTCAGAGAATGCTGCAGGCATATCGTGCAAGATCATGTCAGAGAAGGAATATATGGCTTTTATTTTTTTGCTCTTTTAGGAGCGTTTTTGGATTCTGTTCATTTGATGTTTATGTATTTAAGCTCATGTTATTTCTTATAGGAGATACTGGAAGCTTTCTCAGGTGTCCCAGTGCTTCTTAATGTAAGGCCTTTTTGCAGTACCGTGCAGGTTGTACAACTGTTTCTCATTCTGAATGTTTTAACCTGATCAATTCAGTTTGAAGGAAAATACCTGTCGGAACAGCCTAGGATCTCCTGAATGGTTAGAAAAAAAAGATATAATTTTTCTTGTTGAAAAACTTATCATGCCTTTTCTTTGAAATTTTATTGATGTTTTGGTCAAAAATGTGCTTTTTGCTCTGTCCCAGTGAAAATCTTCCCAAATTTGGCTGAGCTTAAATGTCCTTGAAGGAAAAAAAAAAAAAAAAAAAAAAAATTAAAAAAAAAAAAAAAAAAAAATCACTCTTCCCAAATATCAAAGAATTCTTAGAATGTTACTAGTCACATCCTCTCCAAGAATCTGTTGGCACTGAGAAAAGCTTTCTTCTCTTTGCATCTGATCATAGCCCACAGCAGCACGGACTACTAAAAAGCTTCTTACTGAAGTGAGAGCAACCCTGGTACAAAGGGGATTTCTAGATAATTTTGCTGCTCAAACATTTAAACGTTTAAAGAACTTAGATATGCTGTAATTTTTCAAGATATTCACATGTGGCCAAGTTTGGAAGATGCTCATTTTTGGAGAGCTGGCTGTAGTTCGATCTGTCTCCTGCAAGATTCAAAGTCTCAGATCAGCTGAAAGGAGCCATAATTGTTAACTTCTGCAGAATAGTATATTTTTCATTAGCCAGATATTTAGAAATGGCAGAAATAACTTGGTAGATTTGTTCCCCATGACTTGTGTTTTGGAATTAGGAGCCAGGACTGAAAAATCATCTCACCTGTTAAAGTTTGGGAGACAGGGAAAAGCAGCTGAAAACAGGGTCTCAGAGTTATCAGGCACTCTAAATGATAGGTGGTAACATCAGCGTTATCTGTAAAATATATCGTTGAGAAAAATGTACTGGTTGGATTGTGTAAAAGTTAGCTCAAGGCTTTGTTAATGAAGAGTAAAGACTATTGTAATATACTTTATGCTGGGTCTTAATTAAAATGGAGTGAAAAGCTTCAGTTCTCTGATTTCCTAATTTCTGATGCTTGGAAGTTGTTCTTGCAGTGACACAATAAATTCATCATTGCTGTGTGAATAATGTTGTTTAATAAAGGGAGGTTGGGGAATACCAAGAATTTAGAGCTTGGAGGCTGCAAGAGCATCACAGTGTGAAAAAAGCAAGGTGAACTTATAGAGTTCACAGTTCTGCAGAGGGAAATGCTCTTGTCCCTTCCTGCCTCTTGATAGCCTGCAGAAACCTGTGGGCAGCTGGAAGAGAGTCCTTCCTGACCTGTACAACTTGCAGTAGAGAGCTGCAGGGTTCTGCTGCATGTGGGAAGTGCTGGGGAGTTTTGACATTTTGCAGTTGGCCTCAACTTGTAAATAAAATAAGTTTTCCTGATATGCTACCCAGGCACTATGAGGAATGTAAAGACACCTTCTGAACTGGCCACACTGCATGCTACTGGTATTTGAAACTGTTTTTGAGATACTCAGGAGCAAAGAAGTGTTTTAAAACCCTATCGCTGCATGAAGGAGGTGGAGAGATTGCTTAGCTTGGAAACTGGAACATTTTAATGAGCTTTCAAAAAAAATGACACTGTCTGAGTTAAAGCATGAAAAAATTGAGCTTTAAATTTTCAAGCATATGAAAAAGGAGAATGATAATGACATCCTGTTGTAACTAAACTGCAGAGACTTTCTGAACTTCTACTATTTC